GATTACTGGGATATTAGGATTAGCATAGATAATCCACTGCTCGCATCCTTATCGCCGAAACTAACAACGTGTTGATGATAAGGATACTCCAATTTCCATGTAACATTCGACTGAATGTCCTTGCGCGGAGAAGCTGATTAGCAATACTCGAATAATCCTTCCGCATCCTTGCATTTGAATGCACGTTTCCAAATCTAATCGGATCGATGCACTAAACCCGTTTCCAATTTATATAAATTCAGTTGCATTTTTATATATGTAAAAAGAAATAGAAGTAAATTATCTTTGTAATTGTCAATTTATGATACAATAAAGTACAAGAAATGTTATATAAATGTTTCCATCAATATTTTGAATATTTGTATACTTTTCTATGAATTAAATAATACATACTTTTTACATTATTTTCATGATTTTTTTCAATTAAAATACGTTTAGAACTGATTCAAAATAAAAACTGTCTATGGGATTGATCAAACCTATATTTAAGGTCAAGGGAATTCATTGTCTGTGCGTAAAAGTTCGTGGAAAACCCTTGAGACAAAACTCGAAGTCCTTCGGCTACAATAGGCCCTTTGTCGTTTTGCCATTTATTATACTTTTTCACGCCACGCACTACATTCGAACAGACACACAATAAAAAAAGGTGGTAGAAAAAGTGATCAAGTCCAAATAAAAACACGGAGAGTAAAAAAGAAAACAGATTGATGGAGTCCTCAGGGATAAGAGCGTAAAACGCGTAAATATTTTCAATGGAGACAAATCGTACAGATTCATTTTACTGACATTTCTTAACGAATAATAATAATCTTTGTTACATTACAATTTATACGAATTATTAATAGTAATTTTTTCTCAATGTTTATATAATTATCACTTTTTCATAATTACATATCATAACGCTATTCATTCTTTATATTTTTATATTTATATGAAAATTTGTAGAAAATATTATTTTTTAAACAATTAAAATTATTTTTAATTTTTCTTTGTTTAATAAAATATTGTATGATTACATAAAAATGAGTATTTAAATGCGCTTCTTTTGATATAATTATCATTACGTAAAGTTAATTAATAACTGAGATATGGCGAATTTTCTAATTTGTTTTTATAACTTTTACTTTCACCAAGAGATGGCGTATTGTAAAACTTGTCTTTCCCAAATCAATTTTATTGTTAATTATTTCATATAATTTCACAAATTTCTATGATATTGAAATCAATTTGTTAAAAAATTTGTAAAATATTGCTTTTTTAAACAATTATAATAAATTTTTATTTTTTTTTAATTATTTCGAGTTTTTAAATATTTTCTGATTACATAAGAAGATCTTTAAATGTGCTTCTTTTGATATAATTACCGTTAAGTAAAGTTAATTAATAACTGAGATATGGTAAATTTTCTAATTTGTATTCATAACTTACATTTTCGCCAAGAGATGGCGTATTGTAAAAATCGTTTATACCTCTATTTTCTCAATCAATTTAATTGTTAATTATTCTATATAATTACACGCATTTCTATTCCATTTAAATCGATTTCTTAAACTAAATTTAACTACAGAAATAATCGATTTAGTTTGGGACGCTTTTTCCGTAAAAGTTCGGTATAAAAAAGAGCGTTGCAATGTGTATGGTCAATTGAACAACACGAGTAAATCGACTGTGAAGAATCGATTATGACGTGTCATTATCAAATTGATTTTAATTCCTCATATTTTGATATAAAAATCTGTTATAAAATATTGCTTTTTTAAGCAATTATAATTATTTTTTCAAATTATTTCTATTTTATAAATATTTTCTGATTGCATAAAAAAGCGTTAAAGATCGCTTTTTTATGCGCTTCTTTTGGTATAATTACCGTTACGTAAAGTTAATTAATAACTGAGATAGGGTAAATTTTGTAATTTGTATTAATAACTTATAATTTCACCAAGAGATGGCGCATTATAAAAATCGTCAATACCTCTATTTTCTCAATCAATTTAATTGTTAATTATTCCATGTAATTACAAGCAATCATATTCTATTAAAATCGACTTATTAAACTAATTATAATTATTTTTAATTTTTATTTATTTTTTTTAAATTAATTCAATTTTTGAAATATTTTCTGATTAAATAAAAAAAGCGATATTTAAATGCACTTTTTTTTGGTATAATTACCGTTACGTAAAGCTAATTAATAACTGAGATATGCTAAATTTTCTAATTTGTATTAATAACTTATAATTTTACCAAGAGATGGCGTATTATAAATATCGTCTATACTTCTAATTCATCAATCAATTTAATTGTTAATTATTCCATATAATTAAATACATTTCTTTTCTATTGAAATCGATTTGTAAAACTAAATTTAACTACAGAAATAATCGTAAAAGTTTGGTATAAAAAAAGAGCGTTGCAATCAAATGTGTCTGGTCAATTGAACCGCACGAATAAATCGACTGCGAAGAGTCGAGGGAGATTTTCCAGCTCGGATTGATCGCGACAGATTCAATTACATCGTGCGGATCCTCATCAAAGCGACGTAACGAAATTATACTCACATATCGAATGCAAATTACCAAATGAAAAAAAAAACTTCAACGACAAAAAAAAATCTGTTTACATCAGAGTTTGGAAAATTGAAAAGGAAATCAGAAACATCAAACGTACGTACGAAAAATTGACCAAAAAGAAATTGTAGCAGAAATATCCACTAACATTTTCATTTATTTTTTTTTGTTGTAGAAAGTGCTTTAACGAGCGCTCCGGTTTAACGAAAATTAAATTAAAGAAATAATTACGCAATTTTCCACGCCAATTACATCCAACACGATGTGAATCTCCTCTTTTTTTCTGCAGCTACGCTCTTGATGTTAATATACGAGGATAGTTTTTAGTTTTTTTTTTGTTAATTTTTTGTGGCCGTGGGTTAGGTTAACCAGCTGCTGTTTAACAGTAGTCTGCGTTACGTTGTGAAAATATTTTTTACCGCAATATGCAAGAACCAGCCGTTCAAATATACGTTTTGTTTGCCTCGGACGTAATTGGAAAATTGTTTGTTTACTTTTCTTCCACTAGTATATTTGTGTTTTATTCTTTGCTTTGTTTTTTTTTTTGTTTGTTCGGCTTTTTCGCTTTTGCCGCAGGACCAGAAAAATTCACTACTATTTATTTTTAGGATACGAACTTTGTTTAATTTACAATCAATATTTTTTATACACACTTGATTTTTTTTATTAATATTTTCTACACTTAATTAATGATCAATTTTCCAATAAAAAAAATAATTATTTTCGTTTTCAGATGTAGTTTGAATGTACTTTTTCCAACATTTAAAAATTTGTTGAAAAGAGTAAATAAATTGTATGAAAGAAGTAAAAAAAGGAACATTTCATAGTTACAAACTTTGTTTAATTTACAATCAATATTTTTATACACATTTGATTTTTTTTCATTAAAATTTTGTATACTTAATTAATAATCAATTTTCCAATATTTTTTTTTTATTTTCGTTTTCAGATGTAGTTTGAATGTACTTTACCCAATATTTAATAATTTGTTGAAAATATTAGAAAATCATATGAATGAAGTAGAGAAAATGAACATTTCATAGTTACTAACTTTGATTAATTTACAATCAATATTTTTCACTAATATTTTGTATACTTAATTTTCTATAAAAAAAAATATATTTTTTTTGTTAATTAATTTCGTTTTCAGATGTTTCAATGTACTTTACACAACATTTAAAAATTTGCTGAAAATATTTGATAAATTGTATGAATGAAGTAAAAAAAATGAACATTTCATAGTTACAAACTTTGTTTAATTTACAATCAATATTTTTTATATAAACTTGATCTTTTTCACTAATATTTTGTATACTTAATTAATAATCAATTTTCCAATAAAAAAATAATTATTTTCGTTTTCAGATGTAGTTTGAATGTACTTTACAAAATTGCTGAAAAGATTAGATAATTTTTATGAATGAAGTAAAAATAAAGAAGAAATATTTCATAGTTACAAACTTTGTTTAATTTACAATCAATATTTTTTATATACACTTGATCTTGTTCACTAATATTTTGTATACTTAATTTTCTATAAAAGAAATATATTTTTTGTTAATTAATTTCGTTTTCAGATGTTGTTTCAATGTACTTTACACAACATTTGTTGAATGAAGTAAAATAAACAACAGTTGTAAATTCTTCTTAACAAAAAAATGTAAGATTGGGATTGAAGAACATCTAGTGGTAATTTAGTAAAGATGTAGTGAGTAGATGTGTATAATAGTTGATTGGAAAGTGTGAGTAACCGGTGGGAAGATCTTGGTGGAAGAAATAGGTGAGCGCATCAGGTTTTTAATTTAAGGTAACCTTCGGATTAGTGGGTCGGAATGGGAAGCGAAGAAAGCTAAGGCCAGGGTCACGGCCTACTTTCTTCTCATGACCTTTAACCACTTCAGTATGATCAAGAAACTAAATAAATAAAAACATTCTATTATAAATCAAAAACCCTTTAAAATTTATTTAGAAATTAATTGTACTGCAATTAGAGTTAATTTTTTGATGTAATTGCTTTGTTAATTATTGTGTGTAATAGAAGTTTTGTTTGTTTTGTTTATAAATAATAGGCAGATGTAATAATGATTTTGCTTTCTTTATTTTGACTCGCAAATAAATATATAAATACAAATATATATAAAAAAAAATAACAAATTACAACTTAAATATCTAAGAGTGTCTAGTCATTTTTTTTCGATATTCTTTTTTTTTGGACAACTAGGTTATGGTATGGATTTTTGTTGTGTAGTCTTTGTCCGTCGGTGGTCGTCTTTTTCGCTTGCAAAATTAAGATTATTATTATCATTTTTTTGTGTGTGTTTAAGTTACTTTAAAAATGTTTCAATATAAATTATTAAATAATAAATAATATTTTATGAGGAAAATAAAAATAATATAAATAGAAGAAAACAGTGGGCCCGTGATGCCCGACGAACGGAACTAGAAAGGCTCGCTGAGAGGATTGGCAGGTACAGGGGCCGGACTAGCCGATGCTCCATTTACTGCTGAGCGTGCGCCCTGTAGGCGATCTTCTGGGCATCGAGAGCCCTTCCCCATCCACCGTGTCCAGAGGAAGAACCACCAGCGCTGTATCCACCGCTTACATCACCGCCGTATCCGCCGCCGCTGCCGCCGTAGACGGTCTCGTGGGAGGCGGTGTGAGAGGCAGAGTGTTGTGGATGAGAGACGACTTCGTAGGTGACGTGCTTTCCTTGTCCTCCCAACAGTTTCTTCAGACCGATGATGGCGGAAAGGACGAGAGCGATTTTACCGACGAGAAGGGCTTTACCGGCGATGAGGGCGATCGCGGCCAAAGCGAGTTTTCCTAAGATGGCCATTTTCAAGGCGGCGGCAGCCATCAATGGGCCGAGCACCTTTTGGACCTTCTTCTTCTTGCCACGGGCTTCCTCGGTGGCTGGCTCATCGTCGGTGATGCTCTCCATGACATCTCCGAAAGATCTGGCCGTGCTGCTGACGGCGTTCACGATCTCGCTTCCCTTCAGGTCGATCTTGATGGTGTGAGATTCGAGGAAACGGGCGACCCTGTTCAGGATCAACGATTCGATGGTTTCGTCACCGTTGAGGGCGCGCGGTGCTCCCTCTGGTTCTCCGCCTTCAGTCTTGACGATTTGCACACCCTCGGTCACTGTAATCGTATCCTTTTGGCCGAGCATCTTGTCCACGAAAGAGAACAACTTGTACTTGACACACGACATGGAGTCCTTGCGGAGGCAGTCGGCGGAGATGGCGTCCAGAAGGTCGTTCTCGGTTTGGATGGCGTTGCGGGAACCGCGAGCCTCCTCCTGAGCTGGGAGTGCGAAGGCGACGGCCACCAAGCACAATAAACCGGCCACTTTGTATGAAACCATTTTTGATATTATGAGTTTGTTTTCTTTTTTTGGAATTTTACTGTTTTGTTGTTGTTGTTGCTTTGCTTTGCTCAAGCTGATCGATGTGTGTGATGTCGTTCTTGGAGATGCGTCGGGTATATATGAGCGGATCCCTCCTCCTCGGTCTACACACAATTTGGGTCCAGAAGACTATAATGACGGCCGCGGGGCGATCACTTGGACCGCTTTCTCACAGTGTAACCTCCTTTTGCGACCGAGACCCGACGCACCAAACACACATACACACACTCACACATATGGTTGATGGCACCGTGCAATATTCCTCCGACCTACCGTATCCATCCATCCGATTGTCAAATGCACGCCAACCTTACAATTCACACACTTGACCAAGCACCATGAAGCCAAACACCGGATCCAAAAGACCTTCAACTTCGTACAAGCAAAACTTCCCTATGTTATTAAAGCACTACATTCAATCATAAAACATTCTCATTCTCACATTTAAATTTGTAACAAATTTCCAAAGAAAATTCAATGAAATTATTGAATTTTCACAAATATTTCAACATATTTTCATTACTTATTTGTCACAAATATACCAAACTTTATACAGTTTTTGTCCAAATTTAATAATTTAAAATCTGTCTCTACTTAAAATAATTAAACAATCTTGTTTCTTTTTACACAAATATTTCGACATATTTTTTTTACTTTTATATTCATTACTTATTTGTCACAAATATACCAAACTTTATACACTTTTTGTCCAAATTTAATAATTTAAAATCTGTCTTTACTTAAAATTAATTAAATAATCTTTTTTCTTTTATAAATTATAAGTTAAAAATCTCAAATGAAATTCATTGAAATTATTGAATTTTCACAAATATTTAGACAAATTTTCTTTAGTTTTATATTCGTTAGTTATTTGTCACAAATATACCAAACTTTATACAGTTTTTGTCCAAATTAAATAATTTAAAATCTGTCTTTGCTTAATATAATTAAAAAATCTTGTTTCTTTTATACATTATAAGTTAAAAAATTCAAATTAAATTCATTGAAATAATTAAATTTTCACAAATATTTCAACATATTTTCTTTACTTTTATATTCATTACTTATTTGTCACAAATATACCAAACTTTATACAGTTTTTGTCCATAATATAAAATCTGTTTTTACTTAAAATAATTAAATAATTTTGTTTCTTTTATACATTATAAGTTAAAAATTTCAAATGAAATTCATTGAAATTATTGAATTTTCACAAATATTTCGACATATTTTCTTTACTTTTATATTCATTACTTATCTGTCACAAATATACCAAACTTTATAAACTTTTTGTCCAAATTTAATAATTTAAAATCTGTCTACTTAAAATAACTAAAGAATCTTGTTTCTTTTATAAATTATAAGTTAAAAATCTCTAATGAAATTATTTAATTTTCACAAATATTTCGACGTATTTTCTTTACTTTTATATTAATTACTTATTTGTCACAAATTTAATAATATAAAATCTGTCTTTACTTAAAATAATTAAATAATATTGTTTCTTTTATACATTATAAGCTAAATATCTCAAATGAAATTCATTGAAATTATTGAGTTTTCACTAATATTTTCTTAATGATTTAAATAATTTATATCGCTTGTTATTAAAGTTATTTTGCTGGATTATTTATTTCTGTTTTTTAATAATTCACATATTCAATTTTATTTGAATTATTTAATCAAATTTAATACAGTTTATTTAAAAATTAAAGTATTTATATACTTATTTCATTATTATTCTCCTGTAGATAAATCTATATAGTTATAATTTATATTATTATATATATTATGAAACTAAAATACTGCATAATAGAAAATATTTCAAAATGAATTACTTCAATACTTTATATTATTTATACATATTTTCAAACATAATCAAAAATTTACAATAATTTATAATGTTTTGTACCTAAATTATCATATTATAATTATATATAGTCAATTTCAAGAAGTTTTGTAAAATTTATAGATCTTTGAAAAAGAAAAATGTTCATATTTGATAGCTTATTACATGAAAATGGTAAAAGTTACAAATCTATAAGTACGCTTATTGGAAAGATTGTTGATTTATCTTTAATTTATATATTTACTTTTTTATCTGCTATTAATTGAATAATCAAATAAAAAGTAGAGACTCAAAACTAATAATAAAAAGTGAATTACATTGAAATAAAACACATTTATGATAAATTACTCTTATCCTTTTTCACTATATATCCTTTATTATAGTTTAATTTCTATTTAAGGATTTATTTTTTAAATATTTTCATGTTTTCTTTATATTTTTTTTTAAATTGTTATTTTCAATTTTATTTTAGTTATTATTATTTTGCTCTATATAGTCATATTGTTTAAATTTATTTTATTAATTTTTTATACTAAAATTTGGTTTTGATTTTTGATTAAGTGCAATAAATGCACTTAAAAACTAAACGCTTTTCTTCTCATCTAATGAAAATAATAAAAAAATAGACAATTAAGATACGTTTGCCAATAAATTTTATTACTATTGCCACTCCATAATGGAAATTAACTGTTACCCGCTATAAATTATTCTAAATTTTTTTTTGTTGTTATTTTATGAGCCGGTATTTGCATGTAAAGCGTAAACTTTCTAAAAATTAATAAAACATTTAAAAAGAAAATAAAGACGCTCACACAACTTCAACCACATTCTCTACTTTTTTTTTAAATACTATAACAATTGTCTAATACTAAAAGTAATACAGTTGTAGCTTTGTTATGTTTTAGAATAATTTAATTTCTCATTAGTGATGAAATTTTTGATTTTGTTAGAAAAAAACAGTTAATTAATAACAAATTAATTTAATGAAAATGTGAGAAAATAATTAAGAAAGTGTAGAACCTTGAGGAACACATTTTGTACAATCCAATTTTTTTAAAATTATAAATAATTATAGGATTTTTAAGAATTGTTTAGTTTTAAATAGCAGAAAATAATACATTTTAAGGGAATAAATTGATGTGTTCCTCATGGTTCTGTACTTGGTCTGATTTTTCCATTAAATTATGTAATTGGAACATTATAAGTTCTATACAAGTGTAATTCTTATATATAAATACAAGATATTTTTACTCGATTTTAAAAAGTAAATGCGTTCCTCAAGGTTCTACACTTTTCTCTACTATTTGCATTATAATTAAGTATTTTAAATGTATGAATTGTATTGTTTTTAATGGGTGAAAATAAGATATTTATACAAGACATTAGGGTTTAGATTTGGTACAATATGTAATATGTGTTCCTCAAGGTTCTATACTTGGTCTGATTTTTCCATTAAATTATGTAATTGGAATATTATAAGTTCTATACAAGTGTAATTCTTATATATAAATACAAGATATTTTTACTTGATTTTAAAAAGTAAATGCGTTCCTCAAGGTTCTACACTATTCTACTATTTGCATTATAATTAAGTATTTTAAATGTAAATTGTATTGTTTTTAATGGGTGAAAATATGATGTTTATACAAAACATTAGGGCTTAGATTTGGTACAATATGTGTTCCTCAAGGTTCTATACTTTGTCCTTTATTTTAGTTATAATTAAGTATATGAAATTTACGATTATCGTATTTCTTTATTTGTGTAGTTTTTATATTTATGCAATATATTTGAGCTCAGATTTGTTGTTATGTGCATTCCTCAAGGTTCTATATTTTGTCTCCATTTGGATATGAAATGTAAGTATTTAAAAAAAAGCGAAAAATTTGGTGTTGACTATATCAAATTTTAAACTTTCGGTGTACATATCTTAAGATATAAGTATGCAAGCATTGATTATGTAGTCACGAAAACGCCTGTACACCTGTGAAAGCTCTCACAGGTATCCGACGGGCGCACCGCACCTGTTGAGAACCACTGGTCCAGGGTCACGTGAAAGTGACCCGGTTTGTGCCACTTCAATCAGAGATATTCGTCTCACGCATTTGATCCGGCTCGTGTCCCTCAAAAGCCTCGTGTGCACCATCACACTACTACTACCATCATCCTCATCATCATCGAAGATCCGACTTTTCCACGTCGTTCTCCGATGACCCTTCGCGGCCCGGAACACTTTCCTTTCCATTCCGAGACTCGACCATTTCACTTTCCGATGTATAAAACAAAACCCTACGCAGTTTCGGTATGTGTTTCTTGTCTCCTCTCTGTTTGTGCTCGATTCGCACACAAATCTTGACTTTCTCGAAATCCTTTTCGTCTCCTTCCTTACTTCTTCCCCACAATAAACACGTTTCATTCAATTCAAGTTCAAGTTCCGAAATTACCCATCAAATCCCACGCCCACTTCCAAAAGAGAGACAAAGAAACGCACTCAAATGAAATACTGACTATATATATATAGAAGCAGACGCAGATTTTGAATGCTTAATCTTGAGAAAACTACTCACTAAGTTAGATTGTTTTTACTTATCAGATTTTTTTGTTTGTTAATTTCTTAATTGTAGTTTCAATAATTGAAGTGAAAATTTCTTAAAATTAACAAAACATTTTTTATTATATTAAAAACTTGTTCTGAAATAGAAATTTTTGTTCATTCTTAATTCAAGTGATTTTTTTTAAATACGAAATACTCATTTCATTGTTCACTTCGTAAAATTTTATTAGGAAATATTAATAAATACATACGAAAATTTATTTGCATTAAAAATTTTCCAAAAAAAATACATGAAAATTTACAAACAAAAATATATTTTAAATCTAAACAATTAAACATAACTTTTAGAAAAACTAAATCATTTTTTTAGATAAATTAATTAGTTAATTAATTAATAAAGCAATTGTACTACTTATAAACAAATTTATATGTATAAGTAATTGGAAGTATTGAAAGTTTTCAAATGATATGGAAATGTTAGTAAAATTAAGGCAATTTAAATTCAAATCAAACCCAAATGCATTTCGTCACGTTCCTTATGTGAACCACAAAAAA